TGACATTATGATGTCAAATTAATAAAATGATACCTTCAATATATATTTTTTTTATAAAATATAAATTCAACTGATCTAATCATAATCATATTACACTTATGATTATACATATCAAATTTTAAATGATTTGAATTTTTCTAAATATGTTATCTAATAATATATATATATATATATATATATTTTAAATATCGTCAATTTATATGTTAAAAGAAATATGATGAACTACTAAATAATATTACAATATAATACAATTTTATGTATTTGATTTAATTAATAATATGATAAATACAACAATTGAATATGCATTCAATAAAACATTATTGAAGATACCATTTGATTGATTTCACACTATGATTTCAACATATCCTAACTATATATATTACAATCAATTAAATAAATCATATATATTACAATCAATTAAATTAATAAATTGATATTTAAAATAATATTAAAAGTAAGATATTAAAAAGGAATTATAAGCGGTCTAAGTAAACTGCAATATTTTTTTTTTCAAAAGAGTACAATATTAAAAAAATATATAACAAACTGAAATGTAAGAATATTTTTTTAGAAAATAATAAATAATTAAATGTGATAAAAATTAAGTATAATAAAAATTATTGTTCATGATATAGCTAAAGATGAAAATAATTTATAAATATATATATATATATATATGTATATAATTACCTTATTTATATAAAATAAAAAATAAATTATTTAACTAAATTATATACATAAAATAACTTAATTATCTTAATCTAATATATTTTTTATTACCTTAATTAATATTTTATATTTTGTTATCTATTTTAACACTAAAGTAATTAGAGTTAATAATAAAGATAAAAAAGAATATTAAGAAAATATTAGACCTAAAACTGAAAAAAAAAATTACTTGTAAAAATTAGAATAAAATAGAGTCATATTTCAAAGACTTAAAACATATTTAAGTCTTCAATAAATCCTACTAAATATATAAGAATTAGTACAAATATATAATGAATTGTGAGAAATAATTATGAATTAAATGATATTATTAATTGATTGAAAAAAGTCACCTCTCTCGTTGCAAGGAAGTTGGAGGTGTAACAGAAACTAGAAAAGAGTAAAAATTCGTATATTATTTGTCCTTAAAAAGGAAAGAGTTGTATTTCCATGGTTAGACAGTTAATAAATTTTCTTGTATCAAAAGAAAAATTTTGTAATCCTTTTTTCAATAATAAAGGTTTTATTTTTCTTTGCTCACGTAGATAAAAATTCTAAATTCTCAAGCTTATTTTTTTTAAGTCAATTCTCACGTTATTCTTTTATTTTAATTTTATGCCATGCCCATTTAAAATTAATAGTGATAGAATTTAAGATATTAATTCTCAAGAGCATGCAAATGAATTTGAAATGGTAGGTAGTAAAGTAGTTATTGTTCCTGTGTTAGGATACACACTTCACTTATCCTTTGTAGCGGGTCTGATCCTAGGTCTCAGTCTTCTCGTTCCTATCCAGGTAGTCCGATGTGAGGGGGGGTGTGCCTGCAAAGACACTTCAACGCTCAAGTAAGTGCTCGGCGTAATAAATGTGGTAGTTGAAAGTTAGTTACGTACCTCGTTGGGGTCCTATTTATAGTGATTCTTATTGGGCCGCGATTAAGGACTGGGCCCCGGGAAATTAGGGGGCTAATCCGGTGCATTACATAAATTAACCTCTCCATAATTATCCTGGCGTAAATCCGTGACTTGGCCGAGCACACCGACACGTTCCGTTCAGATTGTGAGTGGTTGGTGGGCTCGGGTATTCGACCTGGTCGTCCACGAACTCGGGTATTCGGCCTAGTCGGCCACGAACTCAGGTATTCGGCCTAGTCAACCACCATACGGTATAGTTATTTCAATGAACAGTATGTATGTATGTTTTGAACATTCCTGAGCTTATAAAACTATCATCAGACGAAATAATCTCCTATCCCATACTCTACTATCATATATATGTAAAATAATGAAATAAAATATTAAATAATTTTAAATTTTTTAAAAATTTATAAATTTATTTTATGTATTAAAAATTTTAAATTCAGCCATTAAATAAAATATAAGTTATTAGATAGAATAAATTTAAGTAAACTTACTCATAGAATAAACAAATCACACACACAATTTTTTATAAAAAAAAAAATAATTTTTGAAATAATTGTGTTATTAACTATAGTAAAAAAAAATGGAGGTCTTGTAATGAGATATAAAATAAGAGATATATAAAGAGAGATAAAAAAAATAAAATAAACAATTATATAAGTAATGGGAGTATTATTTGTAATAAAAAAAATATAATGTGCAATTACTTAATAAAATTTTTCATTTAAAAAATAAAATGTTCCTATTAAAATAAAGATAAAAAAACAATTAAAAATAAATATATACCATTTATGGTTATAAATTATGACCGTCAAATGTTCCCAATCAAATCAACTCAAATAAGTCCGCAATAAAATGGATTGCCATTTTTCTATGCGTTAATATGGTTGGTCCACAAGCTAAACAAACCGTTTGCGGGGCAAAGTCCATGTACCTATTTATTTATAAATAAAATAATTATTAAAATTATTTTAATCATAAACAAGTTTCGATGTGAATTTGAATTTATTTTTTTAATAAAAATATCCTGTAATTGATAGTCGTGAATTAATCAATTCATATATATTAAATATGAATAACTATTTTAAGAGTTATTTTTTAATAATGTTTATAAATATTATTTTAATTTATTATCTAATTTAATTTTTAATTATTAAATTTATTTATAAATAAAATTTTAATATTTTAAAACAAATTATTAATAATTAAAATAATATTAGGTCATAATAACTCTCATTGTAGATGCTCTTAGTTTGATGCAAAACGATTCTTTGGGCCAATTAAATCGATTTTGGACCGATTCCCAGTTGAATGCTAGTCCAATTGACCGATTTGGTTTGATTTTCAAAACTATGTTATTAACATAAAATATGAATGTTTTGTTTGCGAGACGGATGAAATTGAAGAGGATAGTAGAAAATATGTAAAAATTGATTTAATAAGAAATAAAGTGATATTTGTGATTATTTAATAGAGTGAAACTATGTAAAAGTTTTAAAACAATTTATACTTCATACAACTAAATTTTTATGTAAAAATAAATAATATAAACAATTGTTATTTTATATATATCTCTTTATGTTCACACGTAATATTGAAATTATATATATATATATATATATATATATATATATAAATAGATAGATAGGAGGATTCACTTATTTCATGAGTAAGTCTACTCAATAACTTATGTTATATATCAAGTTTCAATTATTCAAACATTGAATTATTTGATATCTTATTTCATTAATTCAAATTAACGGATAATCATAAAAACATTTTATACATTGATTTGAATTAATAAAACGAAATATCAAATAATTTTTAAATTTTTAAAACTTTACAGACTTGATATATGTATTAAGGATTTTTAATTTAATAGTTATATTGTTAAAATTTGATATAAAACATGAATAATTGAGTAAAATAAGTTTATATAGGTTTATTTTTGGAGTAAGTGAAACCCCCTTTCTCTCTCTATCTCTCTCTCTCTCTCTCTCTCTCTATATATATATATATATATATAGCATTTTACTCTAAAACTGAAAATTAGCTACTCACAAAATAATTATTTTATTTTTTGATGTAAGAAAAATAAATAAGATAAGATAATAACTATTTATTTATTTTAAAAAAATCAATAAAGGCACGAAGTATTTCTTTTCTTACCGGTATATAATAAATATTTAATTTGTAAAATACACAGACTAAAATTCAGTTTCTCTTAAAACATAAAAATCACTTAATTGTATTTTACTTTTTACAATAATTTTTTTACATATGCATGACTATTAGAATGTTTAAGAAATTCAATTATTTAGAACGTGAGGCATGCAATACGGAGCTGGTTCTTGCGGCACTTAAAAACTTTTCGGATAATGGAAATATCCCCTTCACCAAGGTCGTGGACGCGATGCGCTCTACACAATTATATGATGAACATACAAATGTCGTTGCTAGTTTATTACGTCGACACTTCATTGAGGAAGGGAAACAAACGTTACATTATGTTGATGGAAGACAGGCTAGTTTGAGTTGTCAAGATGATCCTGGGGTGTCAAACCTGAATTTTAAATACTTGATATGATGAATATAGTTAGATGGAATTGTAGAGGGGTTGGGAGTAAAAGTTTTATACCACTCATTAACGACTTAATTAAGATAATATTGGTGTGCTATGTCTTATGGAAACTCATATCAATGGTTCAGCAAAAAATGTGATTAATCGAATCAAACTTGATAGTGCATTTCAGGTAGATGCGCATGGATTTGCAGGTGGGATTTGGATTCTTTGGAATTCTTCTACGTGGAAAATTGAAATTTTAAGGAACTCAAACCAATACATTAATTCATGTGATGGCTGGGCAAGCAACTTGTTCATGGAATCTCACAATAGTCTATGGCAGCCCTCATTCCCAGTTTCGGGTGGAACTTTGGAGGGATATTAGAAGAATTGCGATGGAGATTAAAGGTGCATGGTGTTTGTTAGGTGATTTTAATGCAGTTCTTCAAGACGGCGAAAGACATGGTGGTAAGCAAAGGGCCATCAATAAAGGCGATGCTGCGTTTAGGAAGTTAGTGAAAGAATGTGACTTGATTGACATGGGGTTTCAAGGCTCTCCTTTCACATGGAAACGAGGCAACTTATATGAACGTCTGGATCGAGTGCTAATCAATTTAGATTGGCAAGTGATTTTTCCTCACGCGAATGTCCTACATTTACACCCTCTGAAGTCTAACCATTGTCCAATCATGTTGAAGCTAGGTGGCATGATGAACTCAAGAAATCATCGTCGGCCTTTTAGATTTGAAGCTGCCTGGCTTACTCATCCGGAACTTCCAAAGGTTGTCTATAACGGTTGGAATGAACAATCAGAATGGGCTAACAAGATGAGTTCTCTTCAAAAATGTCTTGCCAACTGGAATCGGACCACCTTTGGCAACATTTTCTTCAAGAAACAGAGGCTTTTAAGAAGATTAAATGGTATTTCTACAAAGTTATCTCATGAACGAAATGACTTTCTTGAAGAGCTGTCTAAGAAACTATGGAGTGAATATGAACATGTTCTGATACAAGAAGAGCTACTTTGGTTTCAGAAATCCCGCTACAAATGGCTTGAATTGGGAGATCGTAATACAAAATACTTCCATGGATCCACACTAATTAGAAGAAGGAAAAATTGAGTAGTAAAACTACAAAATGATTCAGGTGATTGGATAGAAGATAGAGTAGAATTGGAAAACTTGGCAACAAATTACTATAAGTCCCTATTTGCTGAACCTGGTAATAGTGAGCCCTTCTGTTTATCGAATGGATTTCTTAACCTATCGCAGGAAATAAAAGACATGTTAGCCTCTCCATTTACTCAACAAGAAATATTTTCTGTTCTTCGTCAAATGGGAGGTTTGAAAGCCCCGGGCCCTGACGGCTTTCATGCTATATTCTTCCAATCACAATGGAACATAGTGGGACCTTCGCTTTGTAAGCTACTCTTCTCAATCTATGATGATCCAAAGTTGGTGGCCGATATAAATAAGACATCCATTACTCTCATCCCTAAGGTAGACAATGTTATGTCTTTGAAACAAATGAGACCTATTAGTTTATGCAATGTGTCTTACAAAGTTCTCACGAAGATGATAGCCACTCGATTAAGACGAATTATGGAGGATTTGGTGGGCCCTAATCAATGCAGTTTTGTTCCTTATAGGCAAACAACAGATAATATCATTATAACTCAAGAGGTTATTCATTCTATGAAGCATAAATCGGGTAACAAAGGATGGATGGCCATTAAGATTGATCTTGAAAAAGCTTATGACAGATTAAATTGGAACTTTGTTAGAGATACGTTAGCTGATATCGGCCTACCTCAGAAATTGATTAAGCTAATCTGGCATTGTATCTCGTCGCCCTCGATGCAGGTTCTTTGGAATGGGGAAGATTTATGTATGGAAAGGCTTTTTCACCTCATTAAAATTGCTAAAGATCATCATTTGTGGAAGCCAATCAAATTATCAAAGAAAGGCCCACCTTTATCCCATCTAGCTTTTGCTGATGACCTGATTCTATTTTCTGAAGCGTCTTTGGACCAGGCTGAAATTATCAAAGCTTGTCTGGATAATTTTTGTCACAGCTCGGGCATGAAGGTGAGCACGAAAAAAACTAGGATTTTCTTTTCCAAGAATATAGGATGGAGTGTCAAAAACGAAATAAGCTCATCACTTGGCTTCCAACGCACAGATGATTTGGGTAAATATCTTGAATCAAATTACACCATGAGCAAGTGAGTAAAAGGAGCCTTCAATTATATCATGGATCACATTAACAGAAGATTAAGCTCATGGAAAACAAAAACTCTTTCCTTTGCGGGGCGCCTCACCTTAACAAAATCGGTTCTTGCCGCAATTCCATCATATACTATGAAAACTGTCCTTCTCTCTAAACAACTCTGTGATGATATTGACAAATCCTGTCGATCTTTCATTTGGGGACAGGATAGTGGCAAACGTCGTATACATGCTCTAGCGTGGGAGGGTCTTTGCAAACCCTAAGGATGACGGAGGGTTAGGTTTGAGGGAATCACGCAAAGTTAATATTGCTTTCATGATGAAGAATTGCTGGGCTTTATGTTCTCAACTAGAAAAGCTTTGGGTCCGAGTGGTGCGTTCCAAATATGCCTGTGGTGATGGGTCTATTCCGGTTGTTAATAAAAGATCAGTGGCATCTAACCTTTGGAGGGGAATCTGCAACGCTTGGGTGGAAGTTCAACCTCAAATAGCTTGGAATGTAGGGGATGGATTACTTATCAAGTTTTGGATAGATAGGTGGCTTCCGTCGAAGACTGTTCTCTACAAGGTGGTTGTTCAAGACTTGCCAATAGATTTCCAAAATAAAACAGTGGCAGAATATGTTGGAGAGGATGGAAGTTGGAAGCTTGATACATTCCGGTCGTTGCTACCTACTCCTATTTGGTATGAGATCATGGGTATTGCGTCTCCTTCCCTTGAAAACGACAAGGATTGTATTGTTTGGGGTGGTTCATGTGATGGCAGGTTTTCTATTAAAAGTGCTTATGCTTCCCTGACTCCCTCACCTAGAATGGAGTCAACAGACCTTTTTAAAAAGATTTGGAAATGGCCTGGTCCTGAAAGGATTCGTTGTTTGTTATGGAGGATTTCACAAGATAGTTTATGCACAAATGCTTGGAGGCTGTCTCGCTTTTTAACATCAGATGCTAGATGTCCCCGTTGCCACATGGATCGGGAAACTGCTTTACATGTTCTACGTTACTGTACATTTGCACGTGAGGTATGGAGGGGAATCTTGGGTCAAGATGTGGACCAAAATTTTTTTAATTTCCCATTGACTATTTGGCTGGAATCAAACCTTGATACGTCAGTGCCTAATTGGATACATGAGTTTGCACACTGGACTCATTATGGAAGAATTGTAACAATTTCACCTTTTGTCAAATTGTAACAAACCCTTTACAGGTTGTTTGTGAAATCAAAGGCCGCATGCATGTCTTATCAAGCACGACATTTTGTAAGCCTCATATTTTTTACCAGAAAGATAACCCAAAGTCACATATTCGATGGACCCCTCCTCCCTCTAATATTCTGAAACTTAATTGCGATGGGGTGGTTGCGGATAATGCTTGTGCTTCGTGTGGAGGGATCTTGCGAGATAACAATGGAGACTTTATATTGGCTTTCTCAGGTTTGATTGGAAACTGTTCAGTGCTACAAGCTGAATTATGGGCCATTTTTCATGGTTTGAGACTGATAAAGGATAAATTTCTCTCGTATCATATAATCATAGAGTCTGACTCAGTAATAGCTACTGAATTCTTGAACAAAGGTTGTCCCAGAATTCATCCGTGTTACTCTCTTATTAACCAAATTGTCAGGATGGCAGGAGAGTTTTACGAAGTAGAGTGTGTTCATATCCTTCAGAAGCCAATCAAGTAGTAGACATATTTGCTAAATTAGGACTCTCTTTCATAGAGAGACTTCAATGTTTTAACACGCCACCAAATTGGGCACATTTTTTGTTATTAGCAGATAAGTCTGTTGTTTGTTTTCCCGTGGCTTTTAGTGTTTTTTTGGGCTTTTAAGCCCCTTTGTCAATAAAAAAAAATTGTGTCAATGTATTAAATTAATATATATATATATATATATATATATATATTATACTTTAATTTAAACATTTACTTTCATAATTTCCTCCTTAATTTGTTTAAAACTAATAAATAACCAATTATTTATTGTTTTGCTTATATATTTTTTTTTATTCCTGGAATATCGAAGGCCGATAGCATAGCGTGGGTCAATCGCTACCATTTAACCACACGTTTGGGATTGTTTTGCTTATATTCTCAGACACAGTTACGCGAATTCTGCATGGGTTTATCAGTAAACAACCATGACGCTCTCCACTTTGATGAATGGTGAAAGTATAATTAGAATTAGTGGCAATAGCCGCTACAACTCTACTCCACTAATTGTTGCTGTGGTGACACAAATTCTACCCCACACAATAAGAAAACTGTGGCATCACATGTGATCTGGATGGTTCGTTCCTCCTTTTCCAATTCCTCTCTGTCTACCCTATCTTGTCTTGGAACAAACCAAAGCATAACATATATAGCCTCATGGCGGTGCCTGTTTTTTAATGCCTGATGTAATTGGCAGCAACCCCCCGTAGAGTCTTAGCCACCCATGACAGTCCACAGATGTCAAAGTTCAAAATTCCACTTTCCACTTCCCTTTAATATACTTGGAAAAATTATTGTAAAAGAAAGGTTTAGTGTGTGTGTAACACTGGATGTGGAATTCCCATAAATAACTATTGATTACTTTTTTTTTCTTCTTTTTTTTCTGGACTTAGGTTTTGAAGGTGTAATCGAATATGTACTTAATATATTATTTCATCACGTTTTTAATTTTTTAATTTTTAATAACATCTTTCTTCTTTTTATATTTTTGTAATTTAATCTTTAAAGTTAAGAATTTATTTATAATTCATCAAATTTCGCAAAATATTCCTTAAATCATCATATCTAAAAAAATCATATTATATTTCCTACAAATTTTTATTTCATGTCGTCGATTTCTGTAAGACCCACTTTCTCTCTTTCTCCTCTTTTTCTTTCCTTGCTGCACTAGCTGCAGCTCTTTCAGCTTCCATCCGAGAAAAATAAGCATTTTGATGCTGCATAGCCATAGCCATCATCTCTATGGCACGGGCTATTTGTTCGTTGGTTCTAGTCATCGTCTACAAAAATAACAGCTTCTTCATTATACTACCACTCAACCAAACAACAATTTACAACACAACAATTCCTCGCATCAACCAACACAACAGACAACACAACAAGACAGCACAACACAGAGCTAACACAACAAAAGCCTAAAGGAACCACCCCCAAATAGTGTCCACTAGACTCGACCTGCTCTGATACCACTAAAGTGTAACGACCCGGCTGGCTACTACACTCACAACCACAGCGCACTGGAAACACTAGACAGGATAGAACGAGTATATAAATATAGGATCTAGAATATAAATATATACAAATGTCTCAATCCAACTAGAGTTAGGGTGTACAATACAAAAATACATCCAAAGCCACTATACCAAGTAGCTGAAATAAACAAAACATCAAAAGGAGACAGCTCTGACTGCCAGCTGCAGACTCACCACTATCCACCACCTATCCCTGCTCTGCTCCCATACATAGTATGATCATTGCAGTTCAACCACATAGAAACACAAAAGGGTAAGCTAGCATAAAAAGAACAACATATAGGAAGATTTAAGTAGTATGAACAACTACAAATATCAACACTTCATCAACATACATCTCGTCAATTTTTACGGCAAAATCATCAATAAGCATATAATGCGTCGTCACGCATATCAACTCGGAGATCTCCTACAACAACTCAGCATTTCGACCTACATCAACTCAGCCTTGCGGCCTACAACAACTCAGCCTTGCGGCCTACAACAACCCAGCCTTGCAGCCTACAACATCAAATATCAACATAAAGCACAACATAACTTTACAACTCAACACAACAACTTACAACAATATACAACTGATACAAATCAATATATCAACTTACATCAATATACAACTAGTACAACTCAACATCAGCAACAACATTATCTATTAGTCATCACATTATATTCATCCATCTCAATTCAACTCAGCATAAAACAACATTGTACAGCATGTAATGAATTATCATCTATGCGCCCGGCACACTCATGGTTGCGCCCAGCGCAGTACAACCAGAGAGCACCAGGGGGCCAGCGCGCTCGGTGCAAGCATGCCCGCGCCCGGCAGGACTCAACCAGAGAGCCCAAAGCTCTCACGCACTTGGCGCAATAAATAATTGCGCCCAGCGCATGCCAGGCAGAGACTCCAAGGAGTCTCTCGCGCCCAGCGTGCCCAAACCCGCGCCCAACGTGGGGAAGGCAGAGACCTCCCTTGGTCTCGCGCCCAGCGCAATTTAAATTGCGCCCGGCGCCTCCCATGGCAGAGACTCCAAGGAGTCCCCGCGCCCAGCGCGGCTAAGATCGTGCTCAACGCCATGCCAGAAGCCCAAAAATGAGTCACAACTGACATCGCGCCCAGCGCGGTTCAACCCTCGCCCGGCGTGGGCCATCTAGAGGCTAACATTTTCAAGCACGCCCGGCGCACACATCTTTGCGCCCGGCGAGCTTGCCTAAATGCTGCCCTTAGGTGGCCACGCGCCCGGCGCGAAGAACTGGGCTCAGCGCGAGTTCAGCAGCAAACCTCATACTTTCGAAAACTCTTCAAAAATCTGCAAAATAATCAGAAAACTCCACATGCAATCGGTTCAAATTACCACATTTTCATCCAATAGTCCAAAAATACTACCTTTTTACACATGCAACAACAAAATAAGAAGATCCCCAAATTTTTCTCAAAACTCCGAAAAACCCCAAATCCCATTTTTCAGCCACCTCTGCTCAAAAGCCAGCAATCATCCAACAGCAAATGAGTATACACACTCAGTCCTAGCCAAACACAGTAAAATAACTAGCTTCCCTTACCTCGGGTAAAAGATCCGAGCTTCGAGAAATGGAGGACGAAGGGAAGAAGAAGGAGTTTGAAAACGAACGGAGAAGAGAGACAACTTCAGCTAGCTCTGCCCTAAGCTTGAATCAGCACCTTCTAAACCAAGGTCACCACAAGGAGATAAA